TGAATATACTCATAAAAAGCATACATTGAAATTTTCTGTCAAAACAAATGTCTGACGCAAAGCGAAGCAAAAGTTCTACGTGAATCATCCTTTGCGCTTGATACATATAGTCTATAAGTTAAAAAAGCTGTGCACAAAGCGCTGAACAGCGATTGGCAACTTAATATGAACAACGTGTAATAAGGAAATCACAAGTGAAATGTGACGCGAAATAGACGCCAAAAACAACAATTACAACTGTCCACTCGAGCACGTTGATGGTCTGCAACTGCTAACAAAAATTCATTGCATCTATTTATTTAGTCGTTCTGTTTTGCTGCCGAGGGACAGGCCAACGCACTTTTCCACGTAGCCGCCGCCAATCAGCTTTCGCTTTCAACGCAGGATGTTTTGGTTAACGTAGTTGTATGGTAAGGCCGAGAGGCGACCTGAAGGCAAACGCGCAGGCAGGCAGAGCAACTAAACGCAATATCGTCGGTGTTGATGCCAATTTATTTTACTCTCCTTATACATTTGTGTATAAGTTTTCGTTTGACTTTTTATCTCCATACTGCGTTTCTTATGTGGTAGACAGTTGTGCCAAGCCAAATTGACGCCCGACCTTATCGGCTACGAATTATGACCCACATAAAGCAATCAAAAACGCTTTAGCATATCAACATTTACGATTGTCCGTACATTAGGGTGTCCATTATTTCCCAAGTTAATTGTTATTTTGCAAACGCCGCCTGAAGTTATAGTTTTCGCCCTAAAAATAAGGGTACAACGTAAACAAGCTCTTTATTTTTAATTTAGACTCTCATGTACATATATAACGTTGCTTGATATTTTGCATTAAGAAATTAAGTTTACAGCTTCTAATACCAAATTTATTGCTCTGTAAAAAAGCTCCCAATAATTTTTTTCATACAAGCCTTGTTTTAAAAGTTATACACAGTTCAAGTTATACATGAAATGACTTGAGCATTCATGCAAGTGGCTAATAAATTATATGTTACTCATACGACATGGTGTACTATATTAATATAGTACACTTGATCCATAATTTTAACTGCGTATAACTTTTAAAGCAATGCTTGATAAAGTTACACCCTTATTTTTAGGGCTAAGACTATAACTTCAGGGGGCGTTTGCAAAAAAACAATCAACTCAGGAAATAACGGACACCCTAATATACACACATACGTAATTTTGACCGTGGGTTTGGTTTTTCTACGTATGTATGTTTGTTGTTCATTTGATTTTTTCTTCTGTTCGCTTATTAATCCCCACTAAAGAGTTTTTATTTAAGTTTTGTTTTAGAAATTTAATTTAAATACCTCAATAGTTCTATAAACAAAGTCTAAAAGTGGAGCCTATATGGTTTTCCATTCGAGGATGGAAAGGTTTTAAAAAATAAAACGCTGGTTTTCGAAACCCCATTAATAAAGTCTATGCTTTCCAGGATTGCGTATAGCTAATTTAATGTCCGAGTTATGTTCTTTAAAAATAATGGCTTTTTCACGAAATTCTGCAACATACATATAAGTTAGCATGTTAAAATTGAACCGTTGGTTTTATGGCAATCAACATTATTATATCACCCACAGAATGAGTTTGCAAAAATAAAAGTGGCTCTTCATCTATTTTTATTAAGTGTAAATGTAGACTCATATCTTCTAAATCAAAAGTTGCAGATTTTTGGAAATTGAAAATTATATATATCATATATGTATGTCGATAAAAAAATCACAGTTAAAAGCAACAATCTTTAACTACCGCTAAATTTTTGCAATCATTTCGCTATCAATCACAGCCATCGACAAGTTGTTTATCTTCGGGGTCAACAGACAATCCATCGTATCGTAACTTTGCCTGTGCTGCCACGTGCCAGCAATTTCACATATATACATAATTAAATAGGCCACGCACAGACGTCTGCTCACATACTTTCATATATGAAAATGTTTTTAACTACATTAATTTTTAAAATATAAAATGCGTACAACCTAGTGAAACAAAAAATTAATAAACATTTAAATGTTCATAAATGTCGTTTTAACAAACATTTATTTTAACGCAAAAACCAAAATTAATTGGTGAAAAATATTTACTGAATTATTCCATACTTTAGGATTATATTCTGGATTTCATAATCGAATATCTTGTTTTCCACAACATCTATCTGTCTAGATTTCTAAATATACCGTTGGTCGATTCGATTCCCATACAATAAACACTTTACTAATCTACAAAAGCTTAGAATAACTCAAGTTTCACTCTCTTCCAGCTATTATAACCCAATATTTTGCTTATTGGGTTCAATTATAGGCACTAACAACTACACTTTTATTCGAACAACTGACCAGTTGGCTGTCAGGTCAGGCGCCGTTATATTGAAGTCTCCGTTCAGCTTTGTATGTGTGTTTATGAAACTCAAATTTAATTTGCAATTTTCCAAAAAAATATCCACTCTACATTTTTTGGGGATAACTTTGAGCGTTCTGCTATGACTGCTACCCGACACCACCTGGTTGTTACTGATTGTATTGACTACTAATGGGTTTGTTAAGAAATCCCTTTTCGAATATTTAATCGGCTTTTACCGACGAATGTTCAGTGATTGAGTGATGTGAAATGTCTAAAACCTTTTATTATTCAGTTTAAAATCTAAAATGCAACACGCGCCAAAATAAATGTGACTGGTCTGGTCCAATGCATTGACAAAAATTTATAGTAAATGAAACTTTCTATACGTGCTCGCAGGAGATTTATACGAGACTAGAATATTAATGCTCAAAAGGAGGTTGTTTAACAACTTAGATACGAAATATAAGGACTGACCAATTACAATAAAATGTCTTATTAATAGTATCCAGTATCCCGATTTATATGAACCATTTTATATATATACTTTATCCAAACAATTTCATAAATTACAAAAAATTTACAAAACTATTTTAACCGCTTCGCAACGACTCAGACATACGTGAGGACGGAATTATCAATCGTTTAAACATTGTTGGAGCCAGATTCTCTCAACCTTTTAACATCCCTACATATTACCATATATATTAGAGCATATAATCCATTATTCTTGCAACAACCAGCCAGCGTTTAAACAGCGATCCCATTACATATTTTCGGATTGTTCTTACCTATTGTTAAATAGACATTATTCGCCGAAAATTTTTAAAAGATCGAAATAAATTGAATCATAACAAGAAAGAAAGTTCTATGTTCGGGTGCAACCGAACATTTTATACTCTCGCAACTTGCAGGGATCAAAGCCCGAGAAATTACATCAGGTGTTGGCAAAATTTTATATTAAAGAAAGTATTGATCCGATTCAACCCATTTTTGACACAAAAACATACTATTATCGATAGTTTCATTTATTTATTTTATTATTTGAATCTCAATTATATATCTTACACATTGGGGTCCACAGTTTTGGTCACAAGTTGGTATATTTTAAACGCATTATTCACGCAAAGTTTTACCCCGATACAATCATTGTAGTTTGCATAGTGGAAAGTGAAAGAATCAGCTGGAATTTGAAATGTTGTTATATAGGAAGTAGGCGTAGTTGTGATTCGATTTCGTCCATTTTCGCACTATGACATAGAAATATGAAAAGAACGTTATGCACCGAATTTGGTTGAAATCGGTTAAGCAGATTCCAAGATATGGGTTTTCATCTAAAAGTGGGCGGTGCCACGCCCAATATCTTATTTTGAATGCGGTTCCCATAATGTCATCTTATGCCATCCCAGAGATAACATTTAATGTCTCTGGCGTGTTTAGTGCTTGATTTATCGCGCTTTTAGTACTTTATAACAGTACCGTTATACGGGGTGTGGGCAGGGCTGTCACCCGATTTCACCCATTTTCACACTGTCGATAGAGGTGCTAAAAACATTTTTGTTATTATAGCTTCAGCGATTTAGGAGATATGCACCTTAGATCTATTAGGGGCGGAACCACCAAATAACAGTCTTGTACCTTATTGTGTAGTTTAGTTATGGCAATAGATTTGTTGTGATTGATTAATGACGTTTTGTGGGCGTGGCAATGGTCCGATTACGCCCATTCGCTATACCAACCAAACATGTGTACCAAGTTTTATCAAGATATCTCGACTTTTACTCAAGTTACAGCTTACACAGGCAGACAAACGGACGGACAAACAGTCAGCCGGATTTCAACTCGTCTCTTCAGCCTGATCATTTATATATACATAACTCTATATCTAACTCGATTAGTTTTAGGTGATACAAACAACCGTAATAATCTGGAGTCACCTGGCCTGCAGTGCCTTCAGGGAATTTTGATTTTTTCCATTTCAGCTCATTTTCGGTGTTCCATTCGATAGATTGTTAAACAGTTTCGACGTCATATTCATAAGCATTCATAAGCACACGCCTCGTCACCAGCAATGAATGTAGAATACTTAGCTACATTGTTAAGCAGCTCTTTTGCGACCTCCACTCGACATCGTTTTTGCAAAATATTCAGCCAAAGAAAATGTGTTGAGTCGATCCATTAGAGATGTTTAGATCCTCTGCTATCTCTCTGATGTCAACATGATCTTGCACTGTTTCTTTAACTTTTTCGATGTTTTCGTCATTAACAGAGATGGATGGACGACTCCCATGAAACAAGTTTTCGATGACTTCACAACCTTCCATACTACTTCGTGTCTCGTTAAACAACTTCTTGCAACACAATCAACGATTCCATAGAAGGGATTCCATTGGAAACACAAAATTTCATGGAGAAGCAAAGGTTGCACCAATCTTAAGAAAAAATTTTTATTCGTCTGGGTCAAAATGATCACAGTACATTTTATTGGTTAATTCCCTTTTTGATAGGATGGCATATCAGATTTAAATATTTTCAGATTAAAGGGTGGAACCCCAATTTTTCCAGTTATTTCAGTTATTGAGGAGAAATTTTTCACTTTGAGACTTCTGCAAACAATAGTTCATTTCCCTAGAAAATAAGAAACCCAAATTTCATTATTTTTTACAAGAAATTATATTTTTTCAATTATGTAACGAAATTCGTAAGTAAATTGCGTATTCAAAAATATATATTTAATTAAAATTTAATATTTGAACCATCTACAGCATATTTCTTCTAGAGCTCTTAAGTATTTTTCAAACTTTCACACCCAATTCTCCAGGATTAATGATTTTTATATTTCTGTCGTTTACTTTGTACAGCACTTCTTTGCGAATTTGCTCAAGTTCATAGATGCCATTTTGCTGCGCTTCCTGCTCTTCCTGCTCTTCGTCCTCTTTCTTTGCATCATTGGCGGCCAACTCACGCTCGATTAGCAGTTTACCATCCACGTCACGTGACACGCCACTCTTCAGCTGCGACGCACGTATGCGCAACGTGCCCAACTTCGCCACGTTGTTATCGATCGGCGCATATAAGTCGCAATTACTCAACTTCGTGATCACCGCCAAATTCTTATATTGCTTCGGCAATTCGGCCAACTTATGACACAGCTGGATTATCTCCTCCTTGGTGGCGCCCAAATTCAATAAAATCGCCAAATTATCAACCAAAATCGTTGTGCTGATGCGTTGTGCGGCGCTGGTGCTGATGTGATTGCGTATGCCATCGAGCAGTAGCGTTGTTACGAGACGTTCATCCTGCAGCCACTTGCTGGCCATACCCTTTTTCGCCATATCCGTTAGTGGATCCACAACATTCAGCGTTTTGTCAAGGAAAATATTCACATTGTAACCGAGCCGCATGCCGGCATGGAAGTAATGCTGATAATTGTGCTGCAGACATACCAGCACCGTGCCGGCGTTGGAGATACGCAGCCGTTGGCCGAGTATGCAACTGAAGAGGAAGCTGCCGTCGCAGTTCGACTCTTCGCTGATGTGGACGAATTTTGGCAGTTTTTGCTCATTCAGGCCGCAAGCGAAGAGCACAGATGCAGCCATGTTGGATAATTCAACTACAAGAGAGAAAGAGAGTAATTAGTGAAAAGCGAAAAAAGTGAAAAACAAATAAAAGAAAAGGTTCTACTAAGATAAGAAAATATAATTTCAGCAAGTACGCCTCGACCACTCTCTATTATATCACTCTCCCACACACACCATTCATCAACGCTAAAAACAGTTTTCAATTTATTTAGAACTCGGGGACGATGTGTCATTTCATGCCCAAAGCTCCTAAAAGATAACAGATACTCAAAGTAAAATGTGCAGAAATTAATAGCAGCTGTACCATAAGCTCATGCTTCCTGGAAATGTTGATGCTTTAAATTACAGTGACCTGTAATTAATATCTCAAGACATACTCATACCTAAATACATGTAATGATAGTTACCCAGTTTGAGTGCAGAAATTAATTTGATGGCAGAACACAAAAATACATATCCATATATATTCTTAAATGTATATGGAACCTAGTATTAAATATTCTCTTCGATGGTAAAAATTTTATTTATTTTAGATATTTGAAATATTTGAAAGAAAAAAATGAGATTGGACAACAGCATTCACGATAAAGAAAACTTATAGACCGATCAGGACCGTTTATATTATTTGGGATATCCACAAATAATTTAACCGGAACTACGGAAACCTTCATATTATCAGTACTTTACCGATTTCATCCTTTGGTGGTATGAACCAATATTATTATGTAAAGCCAAATGTGTAAAAAAATGTTTATCAGAATTTATTGAGATACTCAACACACCGATCGATACATACGGTATAAAGTCCCCGAGGTATTTATTTTGATTTCGATATTTCATGTATTGACCGACATACCCGAAGTACTAGATCTTTAAAGTTTTCTTTCGATACCTTTACTAGTACTTAAGGTCTATATTCTAAACACAAATAAGCTGAAACGATTCTAAATGCCATTATGTGGGAAGTGAACGCGATTGTGACTGATTATATTCAGTTTCTAAGTCTTTCTTATAATTTATTTTAAATCAAGTCGAATTCAATTATTAGTGCCACGTCACAGCTCAATTTTTAAATCTTTCCGCACATATCGTTTGCGACGCAAATTTTATAAATTCGTATTTTTTCGTAGTAGTACACCATAAATATAATGCTATATTGAAGTTGGCCTTGATTATTACCCCATTTTGTCATTTTTTATTCGTAGTACAAGATGGTGATATGAAAAGATGTAATTGGATTTAACGGAGAGAACGTCAATATATCAAGGCATAATGACATTGGACCTCTTAGAGGTCGGCTCGTGATCACTTTTCACAACATATGTCTCACGCCTCTGGTAACCCCAAATTATTGCATTTAACTGGTAATTAGAATAACATACAAGAAAAAACATTATATTCGGTTGTACCGAAGATAGAATACACTTCACAAATAAAGAAGTATTCATACAAGAACTTGATTTTGAGCGCCCAGTTGAATAATTTTTTCGAATATTGTAGCGTTACCTTGAACAATAATCCATGCCAAATTTACTAAAGATATCTCGTCAAATAAAATAAGTTTTCCATACAAGAACTTAATTCTGATCATTGAGTTTGTATAACAGCTATATACTTTAGTATATACAGACGGACATGGCTAAATCAACTCTGCTCGGCACGCTGATAATTTATACATGTATGGTATTTTATAGGGTCTTCAAACTTAATATTGGGTGATACAAACTTAATATACCCTGTTCAGAGTATAAAATGAAGCAACGATCTGCATATCCATTATACAGCCATAGTGGCATCAATTAATCTCTTCAAAGACTGCAGAAGAATTGAACAAAATTCTTTTCTTAGTTAATAATCTTTTTCAGTTAAATTATAATAATATGCAAAACTATAAATGTACAAAAAATTATTTATTATGGCCCATGAGGGGATCGAACCCGCGACCTTCGCGTTATTAGCACGACGCTCTAACCAACTGAGCTAATGGGCCAGTTGTTAAAATGCTGTCAAAAAGCCTACAATTGCTCAGCACTAGGCAAAAAGTGAAACAGAAAAAAATCTAAAAAAAAAAGGCACAACATTAGAGAAACATTGAGCTATAAAAAAATCACTGCAATAAAAACAAAAAACAAAGCAAGCGAAGTCAAGCAATATCAGTAACACCGGCGCCTGCTAAGTGGATCGATCAGTGATCACAAAAACACACGCTGACCTCTCTCCCAACGATAAATAAAAAAAAGCAAGCAAGTTTTGCATGCTAAACTGAAAGTTCTTCAAGAACAAGAAGAAATTGTAAAAGTTTACTTAACAGAAGCACCGCTGATATACAGAATGCAAGAAAATAGCTTGTGCTGTGTGTTGTGTGTAAACAATAAGCTCGGTGAGAAAAAAGCGGCTTTATACGTACTAATTTTTTTGTATGACGTCGGAATACTTTGCTCAGCTTATTAGCGCTGCACGAAGCAAAAAACCTTATATTATATTATGTTTAACATATCATTATGAGATATAGCGAATACAAAGGTTTGGAAATATAGACCGTTGTTTTCCCATAAAACATTTTAATTGACATTTAAAATTTTGAACTTAACTACAAATACTTAACAATTTTTTATTTATAAAGTATTATATGCTTATTAATAATAAATAAAGGTAATAACAAATTTTTATCTATTTATTTATTTATTTTTGATTAACATGCTTCTTCAAACCACGTTTTTCGAGAAGAACAGAAATATGTATAACTCACTCAATTCTTCACAATGTTAGTTTGAAATTTGGACATAATATTTGAAAACGTTTATCTAGAGAAAATGTATGTATTGTTGAATATTTCATTTATTTACGCACTTGCTCATTCAGAGCGAAATAGTTATACTTGTAGCATACAGTAAGAGAAAGCATTTCGTAGTGACAAGGCGTTGTATTAGTTTTGTAATTTAAAGGATTTTGAAAGTGTAGTATTTCCTCAGTTAGTGAACCCATTTGTCAGATGATGAGCGCACTTAAATTCAGAAAATGCGAGAATGTGGTACTAAAATAAGAGATATAGTGAAAAGTAACATCGTAATAAAAAAGGTATATGTTCCTTTTTAAAAAACCCTTACAGGTATGGAACAATAAAAAGAAGTGGGATAATAAGAACAACAAATTTAGTGAATAAAAATATTTCCCCAGCAAACATTAAGCATCAACTAAATTTAGAAGTGTCCACCCGTCGGGTACAGCAAATTTTAAAAGAAAATACCAATATTCAGTAAGTTAAACGAACCGCTCAACCAAAGTTACTCCTCTTCACAAAACTGCTAGAATGCAATTTAATCTAGATGGTCCCGATGGTAACGACAAATATTGGAGAAATATTCGACGACCACTGGAATCAAGAGATTCAAGAAATTGTCAGGGAGGATCCCTCAGGTATTGGGGGGCTTTTGGGTACAATGGGGCAACTACAATTTGTTTTATAACGCATAAAATGAATGCGGTGAATAATGGAAAGTGGATTTTCCAACAAAATAACGCTGTTATACAGAATGCAGCTGCAACGAAGCTTTTCTTTTCAAATAGAAATATACCATTAATGGATTGGCCGGCCATAAGCCCCGACTTAAACCCAATGGAAAATATATGGCGGATACTTTCGCAACAAGTTTATTTCAGTGGTCGTCAATTTGATTTCCTGAGAGAACTCAAAAGGTGCATCGACTCCCTGATTGAATCCATGCCAAGACGTATAAATGCTATTATGTTAGCTAACGGACACCATATAAATGATTAAAATTTTAATTAAGATTGATTTAAAATGAAATATTTGTTGGTACGTTATACTTTTTCGTACAAAGAGAATTGTTTTTCTGTTGTTAATAACAAATAATTTTTATTTTTTAATTTTTTATTTATAAATCTCTGGATTTACTAAATTAAAAAAAAAATTCTAAAAAAGATTCATATGAAATATAAAGATTAAAAAAAAGAGATTCTTAGTTTTTCCTCCTATATACTTTACATCCCTATAACGACGGCAGATTTACAGTCAAGTAATTTTGTTTTAATTTTGTTTTAATATAAAATAAAGTCTCCATACATAATTTTGATTTTTTCGCTGCTTTGCTGAAAATTATATATTGAAAGTACATAAGTGATTTTTCAACAATCTAGAGTGGTGGTAACCACTTAAGTCACTATTCCAGATATTTATTATTACTTTATTGACAAAGTTTTTCGGAATGCTTGAATTTAGCTGGCGATTTATTTTATTTTATTTTTTTAATAAAATTTACTTCTTTTTAACGAGTATTTTGAGTATTCTCGTGTGCGAGGAATGTATAATCTATATTTATACCAAAAACCGTTAGTGTGAAAAAAAATCATAAATTAGAATTTTTCGGCTTATATTTTAAATCAAAAGCTGGAAGGATTTAAAAGTTATTTACTCGTATATAAGTTTACATACATACATATATACATAAGTGCATACATAAATTATATGTATATGAGACAATCAGCTGTTTTACTGTGATGTTATATTTGTTCGAATTTCGTGTGTAAATAAAACAAATTTTCAATTCTATTTTAAAAAGCCATCAAATCCTTAAACACTTGATAAAGAAAAAAATGTATCTACATACATATATTGTATATAAATAATTATTATCAATTATCAACTTTTTTAATTTTTTCCACCTTAATTTTACAACAATTTTATTAAATAGCGTAATTAAGCTCTAAAAAAAGCTAGAAACTAGCGTTAGTCACGTGTATGAAATCACTGCAAGCTCACATAAATAATATTTTCGGAAAACTTTCAAAAGTTGAAAGAATAGGAGCACATGAAATTGAGGTCGGTGTTAGCAGAACACTTTCAGATGACATTGAAAAAAATTCAAGCACCACATACAAACATACATGCATTGTATATACGTATATATGTATCTATGTATCATGGATGAAATATCAATGCAAATGACAAGCTCCATTCACATTCAGCTTTTCGACTTTCACGAAGCTTACCAACCAACCAAATGCCTTTCAG